TTATATTCCAGAGAGACAATAAGTGGTACGACGAATCGATCTCTACCATTCGTAAGTATTTTTCTAACCATTTCAAACTTTTTCTCTCTCTCTCTCTCTCTCTCTCTCTCTCTATCTTACTATCTCATTTTTTTCAAACGTCAAAATAACCTTGCATAGAATAAACTGTATAATTGGAACAATTTTCAGTTCCACTTTAAGAGTTATTTTTATCCAAGTTTATCCATTATTTCTCTCATATCAAACTAATTTCTAAAGTTATGAACAAAAATGGCATCCTAATCATCTTTTGCATTTTTTTTCGTTTAATAATACAACAAAAATATGCAAGTGGTTGAATATAATTTTGGATCGATCCCGTTAGACGATTTATTCCAATAAATATAAAAATAAAATGTAAGAGTAAATGATGAGTCTTCGTTAAATATCGATATAATTAATCTCATATACCCCGAATCAATTTGAAAATCGGTAAGACGATTGAATCAATGTATCTTCGGGCAAAGATCTTGTTCAAGGTATATAACTACAATAAAATTAAATCTTGACGATTGTCGAATTAGTGTCATCCATAATTTTTTATATGGGGATGAACGAGGGACTAATACGCACACATACATATACACACATATATACATGCGTGTAAGCAAGCATGTAATTAATTAATTAAGTAAGTAAGTAAGTAAGTAAATAAGTAAGTAAATAAGTAAGTAAGTACGTATATCTCTCGGAATTCAAAATGATTATATAAATTTTTGTACAATAGATGATCGCAGTGTTATTTACGCTCAATATGAAAGAAAATAAAATAAAAAACACACAAATGTGTTAGAAAATCGATCCGAGTTGTGTCATTGTATAAAGTTTTGCAAAATTATTGTAGTACTCGTTTCATTTCAAAAACTGTTACAGATCATCAGAATTGATAAGATCGAATTAGTTTGCAATGACGCGAATCGATCCATTATCGATTCCTAACGGCAGGKAGTTTCCCACTTTTCTGTCCACCAAAACGAATAAGCAAAAGGAATATTCTATAGGAAAATATTTCAAAAAAAGAGTGAAAAAGATAAATGTGTATATGTGTGTATACGGTAATTATAACAATGGATTGAATAACAAAATAAACAAAATTTATTTTATGTTTTATTTTAAAATAGAAATAATTGTAATATAAATCAAATCATAATTTTCTTTTCTCTATTTTTTTTTAATTAATCCATCATCATAATTACTGGCACATAATAAAAAGAGAGAGAAAGGATGAGAGTATTGGATAAGCTGGTAGTGTTATTTTTAAAGAAATAATATGTTTATATGTAACATATGTATATATATGTGTGTGTATGTACGATATATCTATATCTATACATATATATAGATAATATAATATATATATGTATATATATATATATATATATAAATGTAATATAAATATTATCACAGTATTTTACAGCAATATACTATTTACACAACGTCATAGAGACATATATCATTTTTTTTCTTTTCTTATTTTACCTTCATGTTTTCTTGCTTAATATAAGGCATTTCAGCTGGACGTTTACCGTTAATTCAACTTAATTTAATATATAATTAATTAATTAATCTATAATTATTAAACGTCATCTCGTTTTGTACTCTGCGCGTCCTTTTCTTTGCACTTTTTCTCAAATCTACGCACTTTATTTCGCACTAATACCACGTAATCAAATATTACGTTAGTATTATATCTCCTTTATCGTTTTCCTTAAAATTACTATACGTGGATCTTTCCTTACCATGCAACACAAATTGTCTACAATTGTTTATTAAAATAGTACTTTTCGATCGTTCCTTGAAAAATTCTAAACGGATAGCAAAACCAAAAATTTCAAACAAACAAAAATTCGAAAGATCCACGAATAATTTAAAAAAAAGAAATTAGTAAAATAAACAAATAAAACGATAGACACAGATATCAACAAGAAAACAACGCATACAACACGGACGCACACACATATCTTTATATACGCATGCACAATTTCAACGACTAATTGTAAGATTTTGAATTTCATTAACTTTACTACTCCCGAGCGATTCCGAAACAAAAATATTAAATACAATTAATAAAAAATATAAAAAGTTTGATTTTTTTAAAGGAAAAGTGGCGAAAAGCACCAATGTGAGGGATGGGAGTGTGCGGACATTGGACGGAAGAAACGAAGATCGTTAAAAGTTAAATATCTGCTACTTAAAATCTAATAGAATGTGAGAAAATAAAGGAAGAAATGTAATCAAAATAATAATAATAATAATAATAATAATAATAATAGTAATAATAAAATATTAATAATAATAATAATAATAATATTAATAATAATAATATTAATAATAATAATAATAAAATAATAATAATAATAATAATAATAATACAAATAATAATAATAAAAGAAACAAATACTATCTACTGGACATGCCATTTCGATACGCAACACTTTACACAACAACGTACGATGCACAATAACAAGAACAACAATGTACGATTATTCGAAATGCACAGCAATGCCAAGCGTGCACTGCCGGGGGAGGAAGAGAAAAAGAGATAATATAAAAATGAAAAATAATAAAAGTTCAGGATAAAAGAAAGAAAAAGAGAGAGAGAGAGAGAGAGAGAGAAAAAGAAGAGATAAAATTTCTCCTGTTCCTTTTTGCACGGAACTCGCGCCTACACATATAAGGTGTTTCTACCTTCCCCCTTTATTTCACGTCGGCGGAGAAAGCCAAAGCTTTTACAGAAAAAAAAAAAGAAATTAAATAAAATATCAAAATATAAAAAAAGAATGAAATAAAAAAAAGAAATATAAAAGGTTTGCTCGCTTTTAGAAAGGAAAAGAGGAAAGAATTGGTAGGGGAAAAATGAAAAAAATATTTTTTAAATATTTGACGTAGAGAAAAAAGGAAGGGAGAGAAATAAAAAAGAAATCTTGAACGATAACGTATCATATCATGTCGAATAACACGCGCGAAGACCACCATATGACCAGCGCGATGTTTTTTTTCTTCGATTAATTCTCGTATCCCTCCTAAAAATTGGCGATTCATATTTTTCGTCGCGACACTTAAACGAACGACGATACCTATTACGATTTGTTATACCAGAGGTGACTTCCACCATATAGTGCGCAATATAATTATAATATTTTTATAGAAAATATTATGTATATATATAAATATATATACAAATACAAATAAATATCTTTTTTATTTTCTTTTTGTCCTATTCTTTTAAATTTATTAAAAAGAAAAAAAAGAAAGAAAAAGAAATAATAGAGAAAGAGAGAGAAAGAGAGAGAAAGAGAGAGAAAGAGAGAGAGAGAGAAATAAGAATAGCAGAAGATTCTTTTGCCACGAAGATATCCAGTTAGAATAGTTCCAACAGGATATAGTTCATCACAATAAGAAAAGTTAATTATAATATTGTAGTACTCTAATAAATCTACAATTTACAATAATTTATACAGACTGATTTTTATCTTCTTTTTTGTTTCTTTCCTTTTTTTTTTTGTTTCCCTCGTGTCATGTTTTCTATTCTTTTATCTGGATTTGTATTATTTGGATCTTTGACTTTTCATTTTAATCGCGCGCATCATTCCTGCTGATTAAAAATCTAAACGAGAAAATGAGATCGCGTCCCGTTTGAGGCTCGCGGGTTGAAAACGTCTCTCTCGAAGACACGAAAGTTTGTCTTATAAATATGATAATGGCTAGTTTTCATCGAGTCGATCGTCGATTGATCGGATGCCTACTTTTGGACGCTAGTTTTTTGAAAGCAGCAGTCGACGGACGATCGATGTCGTGATAGTTTAGTCATTAGAATGAATTTTTTTAACCGGTTAGCCGAGTGTTATTTGCGAATGACGACTATGCACCTCTCTTCAGCAATAACATAACGCTCCTGGTTCCGTAATACGCGTCGGCTGGACTAGATTTGTGCGCAGAAAAAGGAGCCCTGTTGGCATTCTTACGCTCCTCTTCAGCCTCTTCCGCGTCGTCTTATTCGGATCGCGGATAAATAATACAAAACCGTTCAAAGTTGTCCTAACAGTTTCACTATTAATTTAATAACATTTGCGAATCGTTTTTGAAACAATTCCTCATTTGATAGGCGACTGTCGAAAGGACAAATTTTCAACGGTCTAAGAAGAAATAAAAAATGATCTTCGGCAGTCCAAGCACCGAGAATAAATAATAAATCTTTCTGCGTGATACGTGAAACCGCATGTTGCAATGTGATCAAATCGAGCAACAAAATAATAGGGAGTCGAAAATGATAACGTCTCGCGAGTCGACCTATGAAAGCTCTATTTATCTATCTTGGACGGAATCGAACGGATAATATGTACGTTTGTTTGTATTTTTTCCGATCGAATTTAGAGTAACACAAGAGAAAAGTGTCAAAAGTAATCGGGGAAGTAGAAAGTAAGATCAGGGTGGTGAGGATGGGGAGAGGGTGCGTTGGAAGAAGAGGACTCGGGATCGAGGAAGGGTGATGGGAAGGGTGGTAAATAGGAAGAATGACGATGGGGATAAGAATGAGTGTGGGTATGGGGATGAGAGTGTGGATGTATATGGGGAAGGGGTTGGGGATGGGGATGGGAATGAGGATGGGATAGGATAGGGGAATTTAGGTGGTACTACCGTTGAGGATGCGAATGAGACATATGAGGATGGTATGCTGCGTGATGAGGTGGTAAAGGCGAGGGACAGGATTGTTGATATGGTCCAGCAGCGAGCATCGGTCCAGGACTGGAACAAGGTACGAGGTGCGAGCTCGGCGATGCCGCATGCGCATGCGCGATCAAATGAGCGTGCTGCGCGTGCGAGGGCGGCGCGTGCTGCGAAGCCGGCGGTGGTGGCGGTGGCGGCGGACCCGGATGACCACCGGTCGGTCCGCCGCCCGCTCCAGGATAACCACCGTGTAGGGAACCACCGTGAGGCGAGCCATAGACCAGTTGCCTTACTTTCTGCTCCTCGTCCCCGATGTTGTAGGTCAACTCGGTCTCCTCGAACCCAGTCGCCGACATCCGCTGGTCACCAGAGGAACCAGAAGGCGGTGGGTCCGGACTGTTCAGACACGTCTGGATCAACGCTTTCCCTGCCTCGCTGGTTATCATTGGTTGTAGTTTGCGCGTCGCGAACGTGTACACGTGTCCGGTCTCGCTAGCTACCAACAGCATCACTTGCGTCCCGGTTAACGTTGACAACTCGTACGCCTGCGAATGCACAAACAAAAAGATCTCACCTATCCATATCTATCCTTTTACATGAATATTTTCATTCCCTTTGCGAAGCTTCCATTTGAAAGATCACACTTCAATACTTACCTATAACATGTTTCTTTGTTTTTAATATTCCTCCAAAAAAAAAAAAGCATTAAAAATTATCCTTATCAAATTCGCGATAAAACCTTTAACTAGAGATTGCCGGATTAACTTGGGCAATTAACGTTCGTTATTACTTTAAACGATGCGTTGATGAAAACCTTATTTATTAAGTGCCTGCGTGCGTGCGTGCATGCATGCATGCATGTTCCTTCTTTCTCTGCTCGTTAGACTTTCTAATTAGATTTTGTCCGCAGATATATACCGAATATACCCGTCCTACCCTTTACGCACATTATAAAGAGATAACGATCGCGAGAGGAGAATATAAATACGCGTACTCCTGTACGCAGCTGTTACCCGCCCGGTCACGTGACTATCGGTTACCCGCGGCCCGCGAAACTTCGAAGTACCGCGCGCAACTCTTTCTTTCACCAAAACTATACCTACAATCGTTCGAACGAGTCAATATTCTAGAATAATATCATTACTAAATTTACAATATTTTTCTTTATATTTAATACTGCTAAAATATGAAATATTTTATTCAAAAGATTGCATTTCAATTAATTTACATAAAGAATAATTGTGATCATTTGTTACGAATTTAAAAAGTGTACAAATTATTTTTAATGTTTGTGATGAACTCGAAAAGGAATGCAAATTACATTGCGACAAGTCATCGATGCGCTATACAAACTAATATACAAACTAAGCCAAAATCGAATGGTCGTTCAAAGACTATACGTATAGGTAGGTGAATGAGAAAAAAGTAGATAGTCTTTTTAACTCAAAACCTAGTCGTTATTAATCACGCGTAATGGTACGATGAAAAGAGAACAAGAAAAAAAAAAAAAAGAAAAAAAAAAAGAAAAAATGGTTGATATGGGATGGCCTTTGATCGTATATACGAAACCGTTAGACTTTGGATGACTTTTGAGATGACTACATGTATTTTAGGAGATATTAGGATGCGTTGCTATTATTATACTACGTTTCTACTCCGACAGTTACGCCGGTAAGCTACGAAAGTGAAGGAAAGCGAGTATAAATAAACTGAGACCGTAGCCTTAATCGCGCTTAGGCGAGCTATTTACTTACATCGCTCGCGTATTTCCATAGAATTGATAAAAAAAAAAAAAAATACGATCTTGATTAATCGATCGATCGATCCTTCCGGTAGAAATCAATCCAATAATCATCCAAATTATCGTTTGTTCCAAATTTTGCTTCATGTCCATGCATATCCATTAATCCAGATAAATATGACTGCTATCATTTAATTATCAATTCAAAGTAAACTTCCTGTTATTTTATTTGTAGATTGCAACATAGTGTTGTGCATGAATTAAAAGAGTTTTTTGCAGATATTATTCATAATCTACATGATTCTATAAACAAGAATCCAAGTCAAATAATCAATAGTAATTCCAAGAATAACTTGTTTATCAAATAATTATTCATTCAATTCTACTATAAAAAGGTGAATTTTTTCATATATTATTGAATTCGTATTATGCGAAGAAATTTATAAATAATACAAATTAAAGTAACAAGATTTGTGCTATATGAAAACTTTTTTCACAATACTCTGTTATAAGAGAATCGAGTGTATATATTTATCTATAATTTGATATTTATATCCACATATAAGAGATGAAAGTAAAAGATAAAATATAATTGAAATTTAAATTGAAACAAAAGAAACAAATTATTGCTTACTGTTAGATAAGAATTAGATTCGATCGAAGGATTACAAAAACAACTATAATTGTCATACTCGTTATTTGTAATTCAAAATAATAGGTTGTGATTGGAAATTAATTTGATTTTTCTTATAGAGATTTAAAATTAACCGCGTTTATCGATACCTAACCTTACTCTAAGCTTCAAAATCATTTTACATTCTATCAACAGACATCTCGGACGTCATTTAGAATATTCTTGCGTTTCGATCTGTCAAGCAGATAATTTTTTGTCATTGTATCAAAAATAGAAAATCCAAGTGAAGATTTTTGTCAGATTTTTCTTTTTTATTACCGCAAATGTAATAATACAGTGCAAGGGAGAAAAAACTTCGTGCCGTTTACACAGAGGATGAACGCCAGAATCTAAAATGTTTTTCGAAATTTCGTTATGGTCATTTTGATTTCGAGGATACGCTACGTTTAGGTCGTTCAATTGAAGGGGATGAGAGCAAAATAAAGGTATTGGGGGATGCTAATTGTCAAATGAAAACGTAAAAAATAACTGAGAAATTGAATTAATCAAATTGGACCATTCACGATCATCTAAAAAGATTTGAATTCTAAATATTCAAAAATCCTTTTATTTTCCATTGGAAAATATGAAACTATTTTCCGAACGAGACCTAATAGTTGAAGTAACAGTTGAATTTAAAAAGTCAGATTTAGGATTAAAAAGAAAGGTTGAAACAAAAGAAATTAAATATTGTTTCAAGTTTGATTGAAAGGTGATTATAAATATCGTGCTCGTTCAATGTAATTCAAAATGAATGGAGAAGAAATACCGATGACGAATCAACTCCCTCTTTGAAATTACGTATTTATCATTAAACTGGTTACTTAATCGTGTAGAATGGAAATTAAGGAAGAGTATGTAGACAACTTGAATATCTAATCCACGCATTATAAAATATGTAAAACAAATGTAAAGAAGAAACGTCCATTTAATGCGTGATTTATTAAGATCTTACAGTTGGTATAATGTTTGCATCATTGTTGATACGAGTATAATAAGATCGATTAATCAGAAAAGAATTTGCAATTGTTTGGCTCAAGTTTAGCCTCTATCGAAACGTTTTTGAAACTAAATACAAAAATATTTCTTTTTTCAAAATATTAATTGCTAATTAATTTTTTTTTAATATTTAAGTCATTGAAAGAAGGAAAATTGAATTTCATTAACAATTTGAATTCGTGCATTACATCTAAAGTGACAATAACAATTTATTATTGTAGAATATTTATCAGTCAATTATTTTGATTTATTAGCAAACTTTGTGTCGTAAAATTATACGATATGTGAATAAAATAGAAACCATTACTCTGCAGTATATTGTACAATCAAACCACAATTTCCCTTAAAAATAAAATACACAAACAGACTCCTAAAAATCCTAAAACAAATCGAGTTAAAAAAGCTAAATAATTATGATAAATTGTCTGAATTATATTTTTACTTCAATTACAATGCGACTAATGAAATTATTATTTTAACTTGCAACTGTCCTAAACAATGAAATCTCTTACAAAGAATGAACTATTCATTTTGATTTCAATAAAACTAACATAGTTGTACTATAAATAACTTAATTATACTCTATGACGGATTCTCGAAAAATCATTCGAATATTTAATCGCAAAAAATCCACTTCTGACATTGTAGAAATTTGGATTTAGAAAATTTCTAGATTACTTTCCCAGGAAATAAAATGATTTGTCGATTAATTGAACGAACTTAATTAAAGACATTCGACTTGTCCGAATGTGATGGTTCAAAAAGCGCGCGTGAATTCAGCGCTCCTACGTAATTCAAATGAAGCCGCGCGAAAGCTATTTCTATGCGCCGCGCGCGGCTTTAAACATTTTTAGAACTTACTCGCCGTGTGTAACTTGATCGACCAAACAAAGCGTGCCGAAGCAACATATGTATTTGTTTTTAATCACTTTGCCGTATCATTCGAATCGACATCACGACAGGTTTTATACAAACTGAACGTGAGCGAGCTCAAACTTGATGGGGACTTTACGAGAGAAATGGAGGCAGATAAAAATAAACTGAAAGCTTAACGAGGAAATGAGATATGCGTGGTAGGATTTTCGGCTTTGAAACTACAAATGGAAATGTGAAAAATTTTGGGTTAGTACTTTTTTTTTTAGGCGCACACGTCTTTCGCACGCGCGTCATTTTGTGAAAGCGCCTGGGGTTTTTAACTTATGACGAAACGAAAATACAAGGAGAAAAGTGAATGGAATATGAGTAGGAGAGTGAGAAAGAGATATAAAAGTAGTATGAGATGGGTTGGACTAACCTTCTTCATGATACCGGTCTTCCTCTTGGAAAACGTGGTATACCTCCTAAGTTTGTTATCGATGTACTCCATTTTAATCTTAACTCTTCCTTTCGTCTTTTTTCCATTAGAGGGAGGTGATTTTTTCGGTTGTCCAAGATTCGTGAATGACTCGTCGAGATTATCGGCAACACAATCAGACATTGTCATACCCTGTTGTTGCTGTTGTTGTTGTTGTTGTTGCTGCTGCTGTTGGGAAAGTGCCTGTTGCCTGGCGTTAGTGTCGTCGGTATAGCAAACATCGGACGTGGTCCTCTTGATGCCTCTGCTCTGGACCGAGGGGACGCCGGGCGTCGGGCCGCCCCCGGGCATCATGGTGGCGCCACCACGTTGGCCCAACTGAGAAGCAGCAGCGGCAGCGGCGGCGGCGGCAACAGCAGCAGCACCGAGTTGGGAGGTGGACGCTCGCCCGTACATTTCCGTGGCACCGTCGCTACCGATCATCCCCATGCCGTAGCTGAGATTCGCGTAACGACCGTCCCTTCCGCCGCTAGGGTTGTCCATCACGGAGCCCCACACATTTATTATTATCTACTAGCAGCCCTCGATCGAGCTCGATCGCCGCCACCAATTCACGTAAACCAACCGCCGCTCTGCTTCCCACGTGATCGATCATCTAGAGGAACACGGGACAACAACGCGCACTACACGAGCGCTCCCCGCGAACTGTGTGCGCGCGGTCCTATCGTAACTTGACCTACGTGCTCGAAGCGCTGCCTCCGCGTACCCGTGCGCGCCATCTACCCCCACTACAGCAAGCCTGCGCTGTTAAAAACTAGTCCACCCTTTCGAAATTCGATCCTTCCCATTAAGGACCTTACATATTTACCCTTTCTAAAAATCTATTTCAACCCCTTCTATCTTTATCCATTCTCTTTTCTCAGATTCGATCTCTATTTATTAAGATATTTAATTTCAATTCCAAGCCGCGGAGCGTTACACGGAACGCCGAGAGGGCGTCCCCGGCTGCCATATTTAGAAGTAGACGTTACCATATTAGGGCAAGTTTGCCAAATATGGTGAACAGAGGTGGTCCTTCCTTTTCGAATGATTGCACGGCGCGTCGCGGCAAAACACCAATCCAACTGACAGTAGCGCTTCCTGCACGCCTTTCCTGCCCTCCCTCCTCTCTCTCTTTCTCACTCTCTTATGCTCTTTGAATACATGCTAGCTGCGATTGATATCACGAGCGACGGATAACAGTTCCTCTTTTAAGAACGGTGCTTTTCTCTACTGTCGATCCTCCATCTCCTCTTCCGATCGATTTTCTTATTATGTTTTACCTTCGACCGATTTCAATGCTATTTAAGATTTCTTTACAAAATTTACTTAGCCTTTTTCTTTTTTTAAAGTACTGTATATATAGGATTTTTATTTTATTTATCAAATCATCTTCTTTATCAGATTCTTTAACGTTTTTATTTAGGTGATACCTGATATCGGATTCGTTTTAATCTTTTGCGATTATTTTCAGTAGAAAAGAAAGAACATCTAAAATATACTGTTAATAAGAAAATTTACTGTTAATACAAAATCCCTTTTAATACTGTGTATTATTTTTCAATGATATTATTTACAATCACCTTTCATTAACACGTATCTATTATCATACGTATTGTCAATAATGTTTTTAAATCAATTTTTTATTAGAAATAAAAATGTACTTTTCTTTACATGTCAGATTTTAATCCTGTTTTACCTCTCATAAAGTACATCTTCCAAGTAATCTAGGAAGGATATAATTACATTTCTTTTTATTTATCTACGCGTATGTACATACATATATTTTCTTAATCATCGATATTTCGTGTTAATACACTTTAGACGTCACAAAATAATCAAATTCTTTCACTTAGTATAACTTATTTTCTATTTTACTGAAACTATATATAAAAAAAATGTACATAATAACTTATATTGACACTGTTAGTATTCTTAATAATATTTTCTTAGGAATTCAATGACAGAATGTATCACAAATAAATCCTTCATAGGTATCAAGAGTTCATTCTCCAGGTGCAATTGTGCGTGCAGCAGAAACCAAAGTATCGTGCACCTCTTTGGCATAGGCCACTTGGGCACGTACAGTCATTAAAAATTGAGGATACGTCAAAGCTGGTCCTTCTTGAGCACTGACTGTGTCAGTGCGAGTTGGCAAAACAGTCATCGGTAGATATCTAATAGAACTTGAATTTTGCGACAAACACTCAATAGACGTTTTTAAATGTAATTCCATTTGATCGCATATAGAATAAAATTCCTCCATATTTTTATTGAATCTATGATCCAGTTGATCGATTCCCTTCAAAGATCCAATGTCCACCAAACTGTTTTGATGCAAGGTTTGAGCTGCCGTCTTAATTCCTACTGCCAAAGATTCCCTCAACGGTCCGACCAAAGATTTAACTTTGGAAATATTATCCAATTTTTCCTGTGCTTGTTGCTGTTGCTGCTGTTGCTGTTGCTGCGCTTGCTGTTGTTGAGCTTGTTGTGCTTGTTGTTGATTTTGAGGCATTTGAGGATTTACTGGCTGTGATAACTGATTAACAGCCATCGTTCCTTGCTGTTGAATCGATGCAATATTCATTTTGCTAAGTTAACGTTGTTCCCTGTAAATACCCATTTTTGGTTATTTATTATATTTAACATGTTATCTTATTTGTTTAAAAAATAAATATATATATGTTATAGAAGAGACAAGAAAATGTTTCCAAATAAACTATTACTTCAATTGTTTAAAACTCTTTTGTGTATAAATCTAAATGATTCCAAATACAAATGTCTCTATCTTCAAGGTACATCTGTTAATATAAAACTGTGCTATTTCTAAATAGAACTATTACCGTAATATTTTAAGATTCTATATACTTGACGCAAACATAACCTAGTTTAAAGGATTTTAATATTAGTAGTTATTTAAAAAGATTATAGTTTGCTAATATTATTATTATTATTTCCTACAAAGTCATAGCTTTAACTGATTTTCTCTGGGCCATTGGAGAAGCAATTAAGCTTATTCCAATGGAGTAAAGAATTTTCAGACAATATGTGTAATCTATAGTCTTATTATCATTATTATTATTATTATTGCTATCAGTAAATAGATATTTACCTTTTAGAGATTTTCGAAATTATGACAAAATCGTTCAAATACTTAATTTATTTCACTTTGATCTTATTTTCTAAGCAATATAATCAAATTAATGCCTTAAAATTCTGATTCAAGATTCAATGTCAATTACGAAAATGTTATTATTATTAAAGTTATCAATCGTTTACTTTTTACGTGTAAAGTATTTAAAAACTTTAGATTTTAATAAAAATATATATAATATTTTCGTATATCACATTTAATAATACTATTAATACACTATTAAACAGTCAAATAAAGTCGTAATCGATTTAAATCGATTATTGAAACGAGCCATTACGAGCAAATGCTTCTATGACTACACTTTTTAAGATCACCCAATCAACGAGTGTCTTTAATTCGATTACGAATCAAGTTAAAAATAGAATTTCTTTTTTTAATAACATTTATTAATTATTCATTCACACATCATTAAGCATATTTAACAATTAATCTATTATGAAAACATAATATAAGTTATGAACTTTTATTTTTTATAACCTCAAATAAAATAATTCCATTAAAATAATAAAAACAACTTATTTCTTGAAAAAAAAAACATCATTCTTACCAATTTTAATTTGTCCATAATAAAAAAACGATCAATTTGAAAAAATGAAAATCCAAATTCATTTTCAATAACATTCCTAAATTGACCAATGAGGGTGCACGTATGATGCGAACGTCGCATTACATATGGCGTCAAAAAACCGACGCCATCTAACGACTGGCATTCCTGTTTTTTACGTGCGGGTAAAACCACGGCTTTCTGGAGCGCGGAACCCCTTTCCACAATTTTGTTTGCAACATCCAGTGTTTTAAGTGCATTTACTTGTGATCATTGCGATGCCGTGTTTATGGTGAATAAGATGATATACGCAAGAGAGCGTGAACGCGCTACAGAAATGTGTGGGAAGATGAGTTAACCGTGTGTTAAAGCGTGCAGCGGTCAACCTTCCGACAAGTTTAGTACGGGAATCTATCCATATTCAGGACTTGATTGCACCGAGGTAAATACGCCTTTAAGTGAAAAACAATAACAACTACGTAAAGTTAATGGACTTTCTTGAGAATTATTTTCAACTTGGAAACTACCTTCGTGTTTATGTTTACCCCTCTAATTACCCCCCTCCTACTCCTTTACCATATTCCGCCCGCCACCCTGCAATTCTTGCCTTTTCTCTTTCTCTCTCTTTCTCTCTTCCTCTTCCTCTTTCTCTTTCTCTTTCTCTTTCTCTTTCTATTTCTCTCTCTCTCTCTCTTTCTCTCTTTCTCTCTATCAATCTTTCTTTTTCAATCTATCTTATTTTTTATTCTTTGCATATTTTTTTCTCTTCTCTATCTTCGTTCGAAAATTCTTCTTTTTATTATTATTATTATTGTTATGATTTTTTTCTGATTATTTTCTTTTTATTTTTTTTCTGATTATTATTTTTTTGATATTATTACCAGAGTATATTGTTTTCTTTTATGGTAAAACATGTTGAATGATTAAAAACATGTATTTAATTGGTTCGTGTGAAAATCAATCTGTCTTTTTTAGATTGAGAGTAATCGTTATGTGCAATTATAAGTTTTATGATAAGTCATCATAGTTGAATATTACTATATGACTTTGTTGGATGTTTTAAAAATGATATTAATAGTTTTGATTGATATATTTATAGAATTAATGAGTATTTTTTTTCTTCTTAGTTTTTTAGATGTTTATTATGAAGTATATCTCTATTATTGTAATGTAACGAAAGATATTTTGCGATTTCCTTTTCCAAAGCTTTAGTAGAAGGTTCAAGTAGCGGAGAATGAGTGCATCAGCTGTTAAATCATCGATATCTGGAGTAGGGACATCCCCGACTTCGACTACTCATTCCATGCTTCCAATGAATGCTATGGCTCAAAAAGTAGTTCCTGGTGTGGAATCAGGATCTATGAAACCTTTAACCGGAACAGGATTAAGCTATGTTACATTGCAACCACCCAGTCAGCCTCTCAGTTTGGTACAAGATCACAGACCATCAGTTTATCAAACACCACCTTACATAAGTAACAATTCTGAAAAGGAGTCAGAATCGGATAAGCTTATACCAAACGGCATAGAAACTATTAAAGTGGAAACCGAACAAAGCGTACCTGCTTCTGTTAAGCCCAGCGAACCAAACAGGAATAACAACATGAGTCCTGAAAATTCGATCGAAGATGAACAACGAGAAACTCCGACAGAACCAGAAACAATTTCTCATGCCTTAGAATGTTCAGGTTGACTATAATATTATATTATCTTTGTTTGTTTTTTTGATTATTATACTTAATATCTTTTATTTATTTTCAATCTTTAACGAAATCTTAACACAATTCTTTTTTCTTTTTTCATTTTTAGCAATGTGTCCCCAGGGACAAAACAAGATTGAAGAAAAGAAAACTACTGTAAATAATGGCTCTAAAGAAGCTGAAGGTGTACCAGTTAATGCTTCTATACAAACAAAGTTATTGACGCATAAAACTGAAGATGCACCAGTTAAAACGGAAGTTCAAAAAATTAAACCAACGAATCAGAGTGCAAAATCGAGCGGAGATAGTCCAGCTGTAAATCCACCATCAAATAATTCTACTAAAGCTGAAACAAAAGTAACGGTTTTGCCGAAAGCTAATAAACGAAAATCTAGAGAATTGAAGGATTTGAAAGGGATATCTTTGATTCCGGACGGAGCAAGTAAACCTAAGAGAAATCGAACCCAAACACAACCCTATCAAAGTCCTTTGCCAGAAATAGCGTTGCTTGTCAAAAGTTTGAACAAGTCTCCTGTGACGAAAGCTGCAGACGACAAGCTAATAGTATTCTATAAGTGAGTAATATTAATTTCTAGGAAATTGTTATCAATATTATGCAAACTACGCACTAAATATATATGTAATATTTTTATTTACGTGTCGATATTGTAAATATTACTTTCAGGAATGAATTTCTGGCTGTGAGAAATGCAGAAGGAAGTTTTTACGTTTGTCAAGCAATGCATAACATATATAAGTCCAGCAGGCGTGTTCGTATACGTTGGTTATCGCAAGATTCGAACAATGGTGAAATTTATTCTCCAGATTTTTACGATGTTACAGGTAATTTCGATTAATAAATTTAATATATTTTAATTAGCCTATATTAAAAACATATCGATCTAGATATTTCGATCGTTTCCATTATTCTATTAGAATTAAATGTAGCAACACCAGAGTATTGTGGATGACGAAAGAAAGTTATTTCTTTTTTTCAGATTTCGATTGTATATTAACAAATTTAAATTTGAATAAAATTGATAAAAATAAATTTCAATTAACGAAGATAGAGTTATTACGTACAGAGAATATATTAAAAAGAGCGCTCGAGGTGGAATCTGGAGTTTCTGAAAAGCCAAGAGTGACGGAAGAACATCCTGATGGACGTAAGTATTAATGCAAAATTAAAATCAAATTTTTCTTAACCCTCGGCGCACAAACAAAATTTACTTAATTTTTTAAATGAATATATTATTATTTCCAGTCGATTTGTCTCTTTACAAAGATGAATCACAATTGAAGAGAAGAAGAGGTCACGGTCCGTACAAGCAGAAACAAAGTCAACGAAAAAAAATGAAACGTTCGGCAAGTTCATCCGAAGAGGAAGCGTCCGAGGATGATTCAAAGGATGAAAAGAAATCACCTAAAACGGGACGTTCTAAAAAGGGATCGGTAAACAAAGCGTTGGCGATTGCTAAATCGGTAGCAAAAGGATCTAGCAGAGCAGAAAGAGCATTAAACAGAAGCACCAAATCTGGAAACAGTACAGGTAGCGAGTCTACCGGTGGTACTGCTGCTGCAACTGCAACTGCTACTGCTACTGCAGCAGCTGTACCTGTTAATAGCGCTGCTACGCCAACGACTCCCGTTGATTCAGCTAAAAATAATGGAGCGGATCCGAAAAAGATTGATGCTAAAAAACTGACAAAGCAACAACAACAAAGCAACAACAATACGAGTGGTGTACCAAGGACGAAGCTTCGTGGTAAGTGAGTTCATTGAAATCCGTTAGTTAAGTTTCTGATATTTCTGTAGCCACGAATAAAAAAATATATATATATGTATATATACAGGATGTCCTTTAATTGGTGATACAAGCGAGCAGGGGTGATTCTACGTGAAAAATTAAGTCAAAAGACTTAGAATAAAATTTGTTTATATAAAATTTTGTTTTTGAGAAAAGTAAATTTATAAATTTGTCGAGTATACATGCACTTGACTAAATTTGCAACCCTGAAAACTAAAAGCCTTGTTTGATAAGCATAAGAATAGAACTGATATACAAAATATCATCATACCGACAATGTTTGTAAGCATACTATGAAGGGTAACAATGCTCTCGAAAATATTTGAAAGTAAAATAATGAAATCTGTCGAGCTGAAACCGAATTAAGTGAAATTCTTCATTTACGACTTAGTTTTTCATATAGAACCAATCCTTCTTCGCTTATATTACCAGTTACATGACACCCTGTATATTTATGTATGTGTATGTATATATTATACACATATACAGAATAAATCTGTATAACTGGAATCATTCTCGATATCTCTGTTAATATTAACTTTAATGAAAAAGTTTGAAACGTTTGTTATATTACCACGAAGGGGGCCAAACAATGTATTGTTCCAAGATTTTTATTGTTCTTAGTTTGGAAAGAGTTAAAAGGTGTCCTTTACAATTTTAGTCACAATCGCTGCGAAAATATGTATTAAATAATTATTTCCTTAACTATTAGTGATATCCAAAAACACTTTTTTGGATCTTTACATTTCGTATTTAAACTTATACGCGTGTGCGTGTGAATATGTGCGTATGTATGTATGTTGCGTGTGTCCGATTTACCGTCCAAATGGTTGAATAGATTAACTTGAAATTTATATATATATATATATAAAAAAATAAAGTTACTTGCAACGAAAATTTATTAATTATTTCGGTTTCATCCGATTTCCGGTATTAAGAATTAAATTTATTTATAAAATATTTTACAGTAAATATATATAGAATTTAATTTAATATAAATAAAAAATTGTATGGAAATTATTTTTTTCATTATTTTTTTCATTATTTTAAGTGTAATCTTTTAATTTTTTATTTCTTTAAATATTAATGTGAAATACATTGATTATGGTTAATTTTTTCCCATTCAAAAATGTTGGTTTAAATGCAACCTCATTTTTTCTTTTATAAAACAAAAGATGTAAATAATACTAAAGAAAAACTCAACTACATTTATCAGATTTATTTTGATTTCATTACTGAAATTCATTGATCCTTTATGACGTCATGTAACTTCAAGGTCACATACTCGTATATCTATATTTTTTAAATCTTATTTTACTTTTTTTTTAGTAAAAGTTTTCTGGTTTATTTATATCCTATAAAATATAGATTACTATAAAATTATAATATTAAATGTGATTCTTTTTTTAAAATATTATTTACATCTTTAGTTAGAAAAAAAATGTTTTCTGCTTAAAATATATTTGTATATTTTTCCTTTTTTATATGTATATAAAAATAATCCTTCGGATAATATAATACACGTTTCAGACTTTTTTGTTAATATTAATATTTTTAGGAATATTGAAGTAGTTCCAATAACGTGAACCATTTTGTATATATATATACATATATGTGTATGTGTATGTGTTTATACTGGATATTTCATTTTAAATGATACAGTCAAATATTTTCGATTCTATTCATTTCAAGATAAATATTTCAATGTAGCCTATATATTGACAGTAAAACGTAATATTTAGTAGAGCTTTTTATTTCATATAAATCTCCGTTTTCCAAATGTATTTAAAGATACAAGGAAATCATAACATTTTGTTGAAATAGAAATCAATATTTTAAGTTTAACAAATGTTTCAGAAAATATAAAAAAAAAATTTAACGAGCACCTACGATGTACCTCAATTTAAAAACACGGGATTTCTATGAAATTACTTTATAATCAATTTTTTATTCAAAATACAGTAGCTTTGATTTGAAACATTTGTTTATATAATCAATAGGATCTGAGACATTTGATCGTATTATTTTAAATAGGATACTCTGCACACACATATGCAGTGAGTTCCAGGAGTATTCGTATTTATTTAATTCATGTCGAAAAACGTCAACCAGCGTTATAGAATTGTTTAAAATTTATATCGAGAAGATCTAAGAAACGTTATCGTATTGTTTTTTTATTAAATGCAACTGGAAAATATCAATAAGGTTAAACGGTTGTAATGTACTGTCAGTTGTCGATAATGTTCAAATGTAGTAGATTTTTTCAACATGAAATCTGAAGATCGTGATTGCGCTACTTGGGACTCAAACAATTAATATTCATCAAATATGTTTCTGTTTAAAAGAATTGTTCAAACTTACGCAAAGTACAAACAAGCAACATCAATTATTTACAATTGACAATGTTTGGAGAGGATGCAAATACTCTTGTGACTCATTGTACATACATATACATTATATTTCGTGAAAAGATGTTTAAGGGATGTTCGGTATGTTCAAAAAAGGATGATGATAAAATCTGTAGGGTCAGCTGAAAACATGCAGCAAGGGAGTAGTACTGCGGGACGTCCCAAACGCGTAGCTGCTTCGGCGAATATTCTATTAAACGAAGAAACACCAGCAACAGCAGCAGTACCACGGAAAAAGCCACGTGGCAGAGCGTAAGATTGACATAATCAATTGTTTATCTTATGCCATAATATATTTACAGCCGAGTCTGTATCGTAGGCAATATGTACGTGTGGTGGTACACTCTTTAAAAAAAGAAAGAAAGAAAAGAAAAGAAACACAAACAAAAAAAAAAAGAAAGAATAAACGAAAAAATAAGTAAAAAATTACAATCAATTTACAATGTAATATATATAGATATATATTATGATCTCAAGGTTCTTGAATGTACCAAATGCTGCGTTATATTATAGTCTAACGATACGGGATCAATGACTTATATTACAATGCGGCAACTCGCATTTCAAAAACTATGTAACAACAATTACAACTACAGCAACAATTCCGAGACTTATGGTAGAGAAAGAGGGAAAGAGAGAAAGAGAGAAAAATGATATTGTGATATATATCATGCTAAATTTGTACATATCGTCTACGTCTCAGACTCCTCGGGAAGAGAATAAAGTCACGGATATAGTATGGGGGGGGGAATGGTACCTTGGTTGAGTAATAACTATCTACAGGGTGTCATATGCTAATGCAGCACTCTTGCAATAGTCTATTTTTGATGTTGTGACTGAACCATACGTGATTCATTTGAGTTTTATTGTACACTTTCCATTGGATATGATAGCTATGTACAAATATATATGTCTGGGATTTGTATGCATTCTGTAAAACAGATTTATTAAGACAGAGAGGTGAGAAAGATGATGGTTAAAACAAAAACAAACAAACAAAATATATAGGGTAAAAAGAAAACAAAAAAAAAATTAAAAATAAACAAACAAACAAATTTACGCGAACGATCTGTGAGCGAAATTTGATCGATCTCTCTTATCCGCTGCTGATCGATAAGATATTTGTTAGAGAAAGAGATAGAAGTACAATATCTGAACATGTAAACGCTGAATTTTAAGAGCTGTTTCTAAAATGGCATACAGAAAATATGGTCCAGCGCCTATATATAAAAAAAGAAAAAGGCAGGCAGATAGAGAAAGAGAGAGAAAAAAAAATATACAGAGAAGAAGTGCCCTGAATTGTAATCCCTTGCCTCATTGTTGAATCCATTGATTCACGAGTGTGAAAAAGAGTCTTATTAACAAAAATATGTAAAAGGTAGCACATTGATCATAGTTTTTTATAGTTTATTTTCAAAACTACATTTATCCAAATGAATTTGCACTGCGATCGATATATAATAATAATAATAATAATAATAATAATATAATAATAATAATAATAATAATAATAATAATATTAATATTAATATTAATAATAATAATAATAATAATAACAACAACAACAACAACAACAACAACATAGTTAAAGAGAAGGAGAGAGGGAGAAAGGAAAAAAATATTGAGATCGCAAACAAGAACAAACACACGGTGGTGCCACATATTATTTAGCCACATTCAAACGTATTTACACTTTAGAGCGAAGAGGATAACACACGTGAAAAAATGGAACGATAAGTAAAAAAGAGAGAGAGAGAGAGAGAGTGTAATACACTTATATTTTCTCTTTTAATAAGTTTCAATTAATTAATTAATTAATTAAAAAGAAAGGAACACATAAAATGTATAAATAACTTCATTTATGCGTATACATTATTTTGATCAAAGATCGTGGATAACTTGTTGCAACGTGAACGTGTAAACATGTCGCAATTATTACGAAGCATTACGACGTTCCTTGGTAGTGCTCGTTATGAAATAATATTCTTCCTCTCTAATTATTTTTACTTTTACTTTTTATATTAAATCATAATCTTCGTACTCATTGCTTTCAAATTTTATTTTTTTGAACCTTCAAGTAGATGTTTCTTATCACTTTCGATGATTAATCGCGTTCATAAGCCTAGAATTGATATATAATCTCTGAGTTATCTTTAATCTTTCATAGCAATCACTGCCATTATCATGAACGGTGCTCTAGTATTTTAAATAAAATATAATACAAATAAATAAATAAAAGAAATCGTGTGACACACGCGTTGACGTTGCAGTGTATATTTACTATATAATAGATAGTTATGATTTATTCTTCACCAAATCTGGATTCTATACTTTTAAACGTAGATGATAGTTTACAATATGTCGAGATGTATTTGTATTAATGAAAAAGTGGATTTACGTCGTGACATACAAACACATTCAAATGGGGATTTATAAAAGAAGACATCAATTTAATGAATTATGTGTAATTAAAAAGAAAGAGCGAGAGTTATTGAGAAAATAAGAAACAAACAAATATATTAATTTTTCTACTTTACGATATTAAATATATTGGAGATTCACGATTGATTACAAGAACACAACAATGCAGTTATTAGTTTTTAATTTCAGTCGCATAAAATACGACGTTTGTTTTCGATTATTAATACAAATAATTAATGCTAGCAAATATTATCGTTGAGTTAGGGAAAAAATGAAAAGAATAGCGCTTTTTGAATGCTGTTATTAAAAAAGTTTGAAGGATTGTATTTAATTGTGTTTATTTGCTAGCCTCGTGGGAATATTTTTTTATAATACGTGCTGTATTAAATTATACGTTTATAATTCTAAGAGGTCGAACGGTTTTATGCGTAAAATGGAATCGGCAAAACAAACTAAACACACGGACAAAAGACAATAATTTGAATTTGAAAAATATTCGAAATCGATGTGTGTATACCAATGGTTGATAAAAACGCATCGGTCGATTTCACGTCGGTAAAAAAAGATTCACTTAACATTCAAACTCACGTTATTGTGTCTTTTCGCATTCAATCTTATAAATTAAATTTTGACATGTATTTCTCTAATAGCCGATTATTAAAAGCATGGTTCTCAATTCGTAAAACTCTAGTAAAGATGATTAGCTTAAGAGCTCGTGGCCAGTAGGCAAAACATATTTTAGCAAAGTCCAAATTTCGTTCAGTCTCTCTTTAATGTATAGTAGGTATGAGAGATTGACTGGACGAAATTTGGACTTTAATAAAATATGTTTTACCTACTGGCCACGGGTTTTGAAGCTATATGCATCGTAGACAAGGTACTTGTTTACACGAATTAGAAGCTATTACGTAATTTGCAGTCTTGGATCAGCTTTAAAGCACAGTCATAATTTATTTGTTTTTAGTTACTATGCAAATAAACAGTATTCTATTATCTAGCGTGAGATCAACTGATATGCAATTATCCTATTAAACGGCGTATCAACAATTTTGGTTTTCTCAATAAATTCTAAACAAAATTTCATTTGTTTACATATATGTATATATATATATATATATACAGGGTGTTTTATAAATCAATGATACAAGCAGACATCTGATACGATTAATAATATTACATTACGTTATATTTATTACATTTCTACTTGATAATTATGTGCGAGTGTGTGCAATGTGTGTGTAAAGGATAGATATTTCATAATAATAATAATTCGAAAATGTTCATTCATTGTGAAAATTGTAAATGATAAATGCTACTATTAAATTGTCGATAAAAAAAACACTAATTATACATACATGTGTATATACGAGCTTGTACTTTGTATATTGCAAGTATTGCGAATGTGACTTTGTCGGTTTTCGATCGATCGATCGATCATGTTTTTTTGAATAGAATTTCATTTTCCAAAAAAAGTTAAATATTTTGTTTTTTATATACAGATATATATGAAAGAAAGAAGTTAAATATTGTAAAAAACATTTTTAACCCTTTCTTTACGGTACGACCTCCACATGGATCGGTCGTTCAGATGTGAGCCCTTTGCATACAGACAACCCGTATATGAGTCGCTAGTAACGCGCGAAAGGGCTAATCATTTATTTTACATTTTTACTATCTAAATCCTGTTTGTATCGCCTAAATTATAGAAACACCCTAAATTGTATGCATAAATGCAAACATTTAACATAATGGCAAATGTTGAACGCACAAGTAAGAAAAAGGGGAGAAAGTAAAAGAGTATGTGTGAGAGAGAAAGAGAGAGAGAGAGAGAGAGAGAGAGAGAGAAAGAGAGAGAAAATTGTTTGGACGAAGAAAGAAAAAAGTATATATAAAAAGAAAGAAATACTTTTTTTCTTCTTCGCTCCCATTTTAAATTGAATTGTATATAAGAAAATTAGCTAATCAAAATTATTGATGAAGAAATGAAGATGAGAGAAAAAGTTTAAGAGATAAGAAACGAAGGATTTATTGTTTGTTCTCGTAAAAAAAATACAAAAAGAAAAAGAAAATAAGCGATCGTGTACACAAAAATTCAGGGTGAAGTCTTGTAATTCGAAAAAGAAACCTTCCTCGAGTTGTCTTGTCTTTCTATATTTGTTTCAACGGTCAAAAACTTCTAAATATCCCCGGAATAGGAAAAAACTAAGTAAATAAAAATAAAATAACAGAAAATAAATAAATAGAAAAAATAAAAACACACATCGTGTTGTTAATATGCGTAAGTAAAAAACAATGCGATTGCAAATTGAAGCTTCATTCTTGTAAGATTACTTACGACTTTGTTGACGTTTAATGGAAGGAAGGAACGAAGGTATGAAAGAAAAGAAAAGAAAGGAAAGGAAGTAGAAAAAAGAAAAAACGAGCAGCAGCACACTCCTCTACCCCCCACAAGCATATCGACTTTTCTATCGGAAATAGAATATACAATATAATTATCATATTAAAAATGATTAATATGAATTTTATTTCGATTCATTTCTAATTGTTTTTTATTTTTGTTTACGTTGAGCTGGAAGACAAACAATTAAAAATAGTAATCCTGTCATTGGTCCATCGCACATACACACACGTACGCCCAGATGAGCATACACGCGAGAAGTCGAAAGATGAAAATAAAAAAATTTTAATAAAAAAAGAAAAATATACAAAACATGCTGTATAAAATAATAGTAAAGAATTCTATTACGACTATTGAAGCAATTTGTTTCGTGTTTTCTGGTTATTCTAATAATTTTTTCGTTTCTTTTCTTTTTTGTGGTTTTTATTTATTTATACTATTTTTTATTGTGATTTTTATTACTTAATATTGTTATTTTAAACGATTTTCTCTCTCTTTCTTTCTCTCGCTCCTCTTTTTCTCTCCTCCTTCTCTGCCCATAATCTTGGTTGTACCTGACTTTATCTAATCAACAGATTTTGAGTAAGGTGCAAATACAGTTTTAAATATTATTCTTCCTCGTCCCATCGTCGTCGTCTTCTTCTTCTTCTTCTTCTTCTTCTTCTTCTTCTTCATCTTCATCATCGTCGCTGCGTTGTCTGCATCGCTTAAGTCGTCTAAGTCGTCGCCATCTTTGTCCGTCACATCGTCACCATCTTTGTATTCAACATCGTCGTTGTAACAATCTACGGAAGATTTAACTCCCAACGTATACGATATAATAAGTTTCTAATTCATCAATACTTTGCTTTATCTTCTTTCCTCTTTTGGGTTTACTTTTAAATATGAAATAAATAAAGAACCGTTATTCACCGGGCAAATCTTTTCCGAAAAGCATATTTATAAAACTGGAATTATAAGTTTTTCCTGCCTTTTCTGGGAAATATAATAATAATGATAATAATAATATTAATAATTTATAATAATCATTATTATTATTATTATTATTAATATAGTTAATATTATTCATTATAATATATGTATTGTATTTTTATTATTAATATTATTCATTTTATTAATATTAGTATTATATTTAGTATTAATAATAATATTATTATTATTAATTATTATTGTAAATATTATTTGCTTACTATTTTCTATTATTATATATTATTATTGTTCTTGTTATTGTTGTTGTGGTAATTTCGGTAACGATGAGTCATACATTTCTTTTGAAAGGGAGAACTTGTCCGTTAAAGCGAATGATTAATGAGCTTAAACATATATACTATACACACGTACATATGTATGCCCACGCACAAAATGATCTATAACGAGACGCGCACGAGTTTGATGACGTAATGATTTCTAAAGTAAGATCGCAACAAAAAGATCATCAATTTAATTTTACCAATCACTTCTTCTTCTCTAAATAATAATTATTATTATTATTACAATTATTATTATTATTATTATTATTATTATCATTATTTATGATTATAGCTTTTTTCTTATTGTTATCGGCCAATAAAATGGCATCAAGAAAATTCGTGCAATGTTAACGCTATGTTTGTTTCTTTTTTATGATTAGTTTTGAATTCGTAAGTGAATAATTACAATCGATCACTGTATATTATGCTATCGATAAAAAATATTTTCGTGCAGGTTTTGCTAATGAAGAAATAAACGTACATTAAATATGGATATACATAAAATAAACAAGTATATGCATAAAATGTATTTAAGAAAAAAAGACAAATGAAAAATATACAGATGTTTTTTTCCGCAAAAATAAAAAGCACGAAAAATACGATCGAATAGAAATGTTCATGTTGTGTATGTCGATGACTAAACACATTGATTGCATAGTACACGATCATTTTTCTCTCGTTCGAATAAATTAATGATTTATTCTTTCTATTACTTAATGAAAAGTAAATTTAAATAATTTCTAATCAAGTTCGATGGTTTGTTTGTATCTCGTTAAATTAAATGGTGAATTATTCACGCGAATTCTATGACACGTATAATTGCTATCCCTGTTTTCATAATTGTAATGACTGTGGTATTGAAATTTTGATCAAACGTTCGAAAAACTAAAGATCGATCTACGTGATACGTTGGGTGTAACATCAAGTGTATCCGATTTTTTTCCCCTCAACAAATTCATAGACGAAGAAAAAAGTGTGGGAAAATTAAACAAAAAATTAAATATATATAAATAAATATAACGAGAGCGTTAAAAACGAATTTTCGAAAGTGTAAAAAGTAACGAAATGGTGTATTTTAAAATAAGTGCTCTTACCGAAATATTTAACGAAAAAAAAAACAAAAACAAAAAGGAAATAAAAGGTAAACAAAATAACAGATAGAGAGTAAAATAAAATTACAGATGGCGCGACGATCGATGAGACACGCGTGTAGTTTTTAATTAAACAAAGATATCGACAAATTATTGACTCGGTAAAGTATTTAAACAATAAGAAGTTGTACCTGATGGCACGCGTTTATCCAATGCTCAAGGACTCGTCCTAATCACATACGTTTTGAGCAAAGATGTGCAAGAATCCGAAAAGGTCAGGAACTTGATGCCCCAGGTTTTGTCGAACCCCTAAGGTATTTTTCAACTTGATAATATGAGGATTCCTGAGAATTTCAAATTAATTTTTGTTGAATACAACCATAACTACAGATTTTTATTTCTGAGTTTATATCTTCAAATTTCTAAATAATTTTGGGACCTAATTCAAATCCGAAAACAATGCTTGGGACACGACCTGACATTTTCGGGTTCCTCTGAATTTTCGCAGACATAAAAAGAAATCTATCGGGAGATTTGTTATTGTCAACTTTATCGAGAAAATATCGCGGCACGTAGCAATGTTTTGATGATAATAGACGATAATAATTTCCGATTATATGTAAAAAATAAAAAAAGAAAAAGTATTACAGAAATAATTCTAAAATCTCTTGGCTTAAATAATTTCATGGGGTTTATAAAAATGTTTAGACGTATATCCCTGTTCATACTAATCATTATATAATATATCGCATGAAGTTAGTTGCTTAAAAAAAGAAATGTTGGATTTAAGAATGAGGATTTGTGTTACGACGGTGCGATGATGAGTGTATTTAACACATGTCCAAAATATACATATTATATAATATATAATTGTAATATTATATATATTATAATATAATATATACAAGATGTTCCATAACATTCATTCAGAAATGAACAGGAGCCATAAAAGTCAATGGAAAAATTTCGTCCTATTTAACTGTGTTCCATAGTTCTATCCACTTTTGCGTTTCAATAATCCGTGATAGCTAATCTTCATAGAAAGTGCTCTAAATGATCATCCTTAGTTTGGATTTCTAAGCAGTATTTTCTATGAAGACAAATTGCCGTGGATTATTGGGACGCAAAAGTAGCAGTTATTTTGAAATAAAATCAAATAGGACACATGTTTAGATAAACTTTTTCCATGATTTTTGTATCTCTTGTCCACTCCTGAACTGGGTCCTGAACTCGATTACGAGACATCTTGTATATACATATATATATATATATATATTAAAAAATAAATAACAAATAATAGAGGAGGGAGAGAAAAGGAGGAATGCAACAACCAACGATGTAATATAAAAATGTTTTAATAAATATCGATAGAAAAAACGCTACGCAATATAAATATATATATATACAAGTGGTTACAAAGGTCAATATAAAATTACACGCCTGGAGAAATACGATATGTTCGTCGTGTTAATCCAGGACGAAAAATGTACAGTAATTATCTGTCGTCGTATTTTAAATTCGAATATAATATTAGTAACTATTAAATTACTCTATTATTGAATATAATCATAATATTCTTCATTAAGATTTGATATAAAAAATATTGTCATGTTTTTCCATTGTTCGGGTGATACGAGAAAATATCATGTATCCTTTCGAATGATATAAATTATGCGCAATTTAATATTATAATAACAATAATAACAATAATAATAATAATGATAATAATAATAATACTAGCACGAATGTAATATGTTTAATAGATCGAGGATTAAACAATTGGCGGAAGATTCTTTTTAACGAAAAAAAGAAAAAAGTGATTTAAAAAATGGGCAAATACGAAAAAAAAGAAGGGACGGCGCTGTGTATTTTTTATACAAAATCATTTGAAAAAAAGGGTTCGAACATTTTTAAAAATTGCACATGAAAAAAACGAATGAAAATCATTGTGTGGTAGTTGTTTAAATAAAGCAGATTACAAGGCACTATTAAAAAATTAATTATCACCATGTTTTCTCATATAATTTAAACCTTCTTTCCTTATTTATATTATTAATAATAATAATAATAATAGTAATAATAAAAGAAAACAAACAATAATTTTTCTTTCTTTCTCTTTTTCATTTTCCTTGTTTCGGTAGAGCCGTTTAAAAACTTTGCGTAAAAATAAGACGAATGTTCAAGTATTTTTTCAATAATTTTATAATTGAGACAAATTAGTTTAAATCTTTTTATACAAAAAATAATGATAACAAAATCTTTTCAGTTAAAAAGAGAGCTTCAATAATTTTTTTAATAACGCTGAAAGGTGCAGATGTTTTAAACAGTTGTAAAGCACTTATAATAATAATTTTCTTATTCAAAAATTATTTTAATTTCTTCAAGTTGATACTGTTCATCAGGTCATTCGATAGCAAAACGTATACGATTTTGACTTTAATTTTATTCTAGTTCACTTTAAAACTAATTCGCGAAAACTTTCTCTTACTTCAAAATAAAAGAAATCTTATTTTTATAAATGTATAAAGCGTTGCTGTTACAGAGCGATACTTTTCTATGTATATTGTCAAGAATTTTAAAGCATTTTATAATATGTGCATGTAGATATACACATATATATATATATATATATATATATATATATATATATATATATACCATAATCAATAAATTTTAAATGCTATATAAATATTCTTAATAATAAAATGTAGCGCCTGAGATCTTTTATGTTTTATTTTCATTTCAATTGCATTCCTTAATCTGCGCAGAAAAATACCCAATTTTTGTTCTTTTCTTTTACCTTTCTTAATTTCTTTTTTAAAAGGTAACATTCATTTATTTACACAAAATCAATTGATTTGATTATTAATTATTATACAAAGCGTATTCGTTCGATCAATTGTTCATTATTATTATTATTATTATCATTATTATTATTATTATTTTCAAAGAGTTACAAACACGATTCGATTCCGCGTCCTTGGTATTCTCCTGATTTTTTAGTGCATAAAAAATTAAAAAAAATGACAATAGAAACTATAGCGCAGTGATTTCATGTTTTCGAATGCATAAGCGTATTTTTGACTTGTATAAAAACAGCAAATGAATTATATACACTGATATAGATTTAACATCATGATTGATTTTGAACGTTATAAAATAGGCTCCCATTTGTCATTATCATTATTAATTGTAGGCCAATTAATAATACTGAACGACGTTTCATTGAAATCTGTAAAAAAAACAGCACCATTTTAAAAATCGGGTCCCATAGCATATACTTGATATTTTGTTGTCAGCTATTCGTTAATTTAATTTAATTTATTCTAATATAAATTAACTTAACTTAACTTAACTTAATGTAATTTAATTTAATTTAATTCAATTCGGACATTGAGTATCGTGAACAATTCATTATAATAATACTCTGTTCGGAGTTAGTTTCGGTATTATTGTTGATCGTATTAATTAGAATATTTTATTTTTGCCCCTTTACACAACCCCTATTCCATTAAACATTTATTCATTGACGATTTTTACTTTTCGTCGAACATAATTTCATCGTCGGGGGAAAAAAAATATTTTATTTTCCGTCAAAGTACAACATGACGGTCTAAATTAATTGTTCATTAAGATTTAAGTATCTACAAAATCTCTAGTATGATCAAAGATCACGAGTATCGTATTCAGCAGTCAGAGTCTTTCTCTCTCGGAGAAGAAGAAACAACAGTTGTGTCCTCTACAAAAACAAAACTATTTTGTAGAAATAGGAAGAGAGAGAGAGAGAAAATACGGTTATATTGACATTGTTCTTTCTTATCGTTAAATTACGCGTCACCATTTTTTCTTTATCTTGTGTTATTTGACTGAATATAAATAAGGAGAAAGTTGAATTAGATGCATTTTTAGATGAATTTGACGTTTCCTTGGTAAAAGATGATCAAACGAGAGCTTCGGCATGATAGTGATGATAATGATGATGAATGTGCTCGTGAACATGTCTCCGACCAGTAGTAGCAGCGACTGCGTTTTGAGAAAATTCACGTTCGAGCCAGCGAACGACTTGGGCCATGGCCCTTGCTTGATCTTGTTCCCTGGTCGCGTGTTTCAATTGATGTTTCTTGCTAGCTTTACCGCACTGCGATTGGGACTGATGAACATATTGTCCCTCCGTTTGCCTCTGGATGTTATGGTTATTTATAATCGAGCTCTGATTGATCTGGTTTTGTTGATTGTTATTTGGAATGAGATTGACGATGTTCCGATTGCCTAACAAATGTTGACTTTCGTTGTTTATCGTTGGACCGATTATGTTGCGAGTTGAGATCTGTTGTTGACCCTGCTGTTGTTGAAGATGACCTGATTTCGACGATTGGGTTGTTGTCGTTGTCGTCGTCGTGGTCGTCGTTGGTGCCGCTGTTGATATTCCCGTTGGCATTGCTGTTACGTTACGTTGTTGTTGCTGCTGTTGGTGGTGATGGTGGTTATGTTGTTGCTGTTGCTGCTGATGCTGCTGTTGCTGCTGATGCTGTTGCTGTTGAATACCACTATGCGGTTCCCGCGTCTTTTTCAAATTTCCACGGGTTTTCATTGGTAATTTCGAAAATCCGACCGTGTGATGGGAATTTTCCCGTACCGGTTTGTGATAATTCATCGTCGATTGTCGGGACTCCGAGGGTGGTCGACCGTTTTGGTTGTAGTTCGATGTTGGCACGCTCGTTGGCTCGATGTGAGGACTTCGAGATGGAACGCGTACATGTTCGTTTTGATGTCGTTTCCTGGAATATCGATACAATAATTAATTCATTTTTTTATTTTTGAACCTCGAAAATACAGGGTGGAGCATTTATGCCGGAAAACTTTTTTAACGTATGATTGTTTTGATCTACTTTCTTAGTTTTATAAATTCCATTAACGCTTTTTCAAGAATAAGATGCAGTCTTCTAAACGAATTACAGGGATGTGGATGCAAACTACTTAGATCAATAAACTAAAATCATACTTTATATTTTGTTGCTCCGAAATGCGTCAGTCGGTAAAACAGTTTGTCGTATCATCCCGTAAGCTACGTGATATAAAAATATAAGAGTAAATCAAGTATTAACTGATGATTTTCTATAGATGGCAAAATATTTGTTTAAATAACAATTTCCAAAGTACAATTTTATTATTCTTGTCTGAAATGAATTTCGGTAACTTTAAATAATTTGTTAGTATCCGCGACAAAATAGGCGATCTAATCGATTTTCAATTTATTAATTACTGAATGATATTTTTTTTCTATGACCCACCTCGGTGTATGAAAACTGAGATTGTTCTTTTCCATGTTAGCCTGTATAATCTCTAACAGCTGTTGCCTTTGGAGTGCTCCACTACGTTTTCGTTGATTCGTGGTTAGTAAGGGTGTGAAGGGAGAAAAAGCGGGCGAAGTATCGCTGTCGTCGCTGACATCACCCTCAGAACTGTTCGAATAAGGCGATGGTAAATGAGGAACCGGGCCGACCCTCCTACGGAGTTCTTCCTGTTTCACGCGGCTGCTTCGCGTGTTTTCGGCGTCGTCCTCGCTGTGCGTCTCTGCTTCTCTTTGTTGCGTCTAAAATAAACAAAAAAATAAAGGCTTGCAAGATGAGAGAGAAAGAAAAAAGGGAACCACGATCTTCTTCTCTCGACTGACTACAACAGTATATATATAAAACGCAGTATACTACATACTACCCTATAATTTATCAGACCACTTTCAAATTTACCGCTTGGTCTGTTCGAAACAAGGAAGAATTCAAAATATGAGAGAGAGAGAGAGAGAGAGAGAGAGAGAGAGTGAAGTTAGAATCTACCAGACTGCCGTAAAGAAACAGCAGCAGTCCTGGGGTATATCCTAAAAAAGAAATCTTCTAAAGTCCTATATAATCCAATCCATCCACCAAAAGTAATATAAACCCAAAATAAATGAAACAAACAGAGAAATGCGATGGGATCGGTGGAAGAAAGAACTTTTTAGGTTTGTATGTATACTTATTCCGCCAGGAGGATAACTTTTTCCAGGAAGAAAACTTCGTGGTAGAGATCAACGGAATTTCATCTCCTTTGTGCATCTCCAAGAAAGCTTATTAGAAGAAGAAGAAGAAGTAGAAGAAGAAGAGGAGAAGGAGAGGGTCGTAAGCAGTCAAGAAGAAGTAGGGGGAGAGAGGATTTTTATTTGAGGGAAAAGAAAACCGACGACGACGACGACGACGACGACTGGTCTTACTCACTCACTTTCTCTCTCTCTCTCTCTCTCTCTGTCTCACATTTAGTCTTTCTCTTCCTCACCTGACATCGATGCCGAGTGGGTCTTCTCCTTCTAGGAACTTTGCGCGAGCCATGAGTGGCATGCGTTTGAGTTGTCGTCGAGTGATGATGATGATTACCACCGGTACAGGAGGCCGCATGCTTCACGTGACAGCAAGGGGAATTAGCTGGTAGGCTTGTAGTTGTTGTCGTAGTCGTAGTGGTCGTAGTAGTTGGCCCTTGCTGAGAATTCGGGCAGGTGGTGGTACGCGTTTGTCCGGCACGTTGATCAGGCGATACAGTCAGCTTGACCTTAATCGTTTTACTGCCACACGGTGGCACTTGGATGGACGCTCCAAGAGTGTCATAAATGGTAGTAACCAGACCGGCTATATCGTCCTTCGTTATCTTTCCATGCCCATCAAAATCATAGAGTGTAAATGAAAACTCTTGTCTTCTTCGATCACCTTCGGCAACCGAGACGTCGCACTCGAATTCCTGCGAAAAATACGTAACTCCTATTGGTTAACTTTTTTTTATATGTATTTTGATGCAGGAGAAAGAAAGAAAGAAAGATTTTGACTTTATAGATCCTTGGCAACCGTCGTAAAAGAGAACTTTACGACAGCCGAGTCGAAGGACAAGTTTCTTGTAAAGTTTCTTACACGACTCGAGAAATACGAGATACCTTGAACTTGACGTTCGAGCGCATATCGATATCAATATCTTGGTAACTCAAGGATAGTTGGAGTCTTTGGTTGAGCTTCTCGGTTCTTTTAGATCCTAGCGATCATCTACTTTAATTTATTCCATTTTTTTTCTATCTATTTATAAATCTGTCCTATTATTATACTTTCGCTAGAAGCAAATATCAAGAACTGAATAATGTCACAACGAACTTTCTATTGAAGTTGATTTTAGATTAGGATTTGTTGAATCAACAGGAAACGGAAATGAAATGCGCTGATAAATCGAGAGTTTGGAACGTTGCTTGTGATATCGTTGGTAACGTTAAACCCGGTATTGAATCAGCTTATTACGTAAACCCACTTTACGTGCGTTAGTTGTTTTAAAAACAGGATATGCCAAAGGGAAAAAGAAGGAACACTACCGGTGTTTAATCCTCAAGAAAGTTAGTACGATATACCTAAAGCTGCCACGTGGCACCTAACGTGTTTACACAAACTTGTTTATGGCCACGCAACAATGAGCCCAACTTCCACGAAATGACCCTTTTATCAAATACCCGTTTGGGTTTTCTACCTTTTATCATCAACCGATCTAATATTATTTCATCATTTTCGAAATAAATTTGTTATAATGACAATGAAAAAAGTAACGCTCATATTTGGATTTTAATTTCTGTTTATTAAAATTGAGCAAAGTTTTGAAAAATGTTACCAAACTTTAATTAATGATCTGAAGTTGTTGATTCTATTGGGTATAATGAATTTTACAATTGCAGGATTTTACAGTAACAGGACTTTTCTCTAGATACCCATTTAATTAATAATATTTCAAATGTTCTTGTATAATGTTGGTTGGTGTATGAACTATTAATATTTTGAAAAATAAATATCACAAAATTATAGGATCCCTACGATGTCAAACAATTTAACGTTTTAACTTCTAAATAATTTCCACATAACTCTCTGCCTAATGATTACTTATCTTCCTTATCTCCAGATAAAATAATTAATATATAAATATTATTATAAATAAAAAAAAAATCAAAAGGAACAACTCGTTCGGTTTGTAACATAGAAAAAAGGCAACTTCCATCAATCATTTTGATGTCTCCCTTTTTTCCTTCACGATAATCGACAAAAAGTGAAAGCAAAAACTAAGAGATAGAGAAAAAAAAGGAAAAGGAAAAGGAAAAGGAAAAAGAAAAATGGGACGGTACCTCAAAACTGAGCTGTTTCGTCGTACTGCTGGTAGGTCGTTCATCGTTTCCTGGAGCTGGCGGTGCCGGACTGGCGGTTCCATCGACCGTGACTTGTGGCGATTCCGCTGGTAGCGGGGGGGAACCAGTGCAAGGCGTCGCGACGCTCCCTAAAAGTTCTTCCGAATCGCTACCTTCGGTATTCCCACCAACGACTGAAACATCCAACAATTTCATGGAAATGAAAAATGACCTTTTTTTTCTTCTCTCATTTTTTTTTTTTTTT